CAAGAGGATAAGGGATATTGATGGTTTCTTCGCATCGTCAAAAATTACTCCACAATGAAAGGGAATGTGCTACTGATATGCAGCACGACATGGATGAGCCCCAAAATATCATTCTGAGTGAAAGAAGCATTATACAAAACAGAATATATTGTGTGGTGCCATTTATAAAAAACTCTAGATGATGCCAACCCAATCGGTGGTGGGATTAACAGAGAGCAATGAGTGTCTCTGGGGGGCGAGGAGCGGCACTGACAAGGAGGGGCATGGGCGGGCTCTAAGGAGCATGGGAATATCTATCTTGGTAGGGGTCTGCATTTGGCGGAACTTGTCAATTGCCACATCTCACTGGGTGTAAATTCTACATTAAGAACTATGAACCAATCTGAACTCTACTTAATGATTTGCATCCTAAAATATTTGGATGAAGTAGACTGATGTTTGCAGCTTATTCTGAAATGCATCAAAAATAAGATGGATTCATACATGCAAAGAAGGATAAACTGACAGATACATGAAAACACAGACACAATTAAAATGTTAATTATAGAATCTAGGTGGTGGTGAGACGGGCGCTAACCATAAAATATGATCAACATGACTGTGGGTCTGAAGTTTGTTATAATAAAATATTGAGAAAAACATACATGCTTGGGTTCCATCCATTCTAATCAGAACCTCTGGGACTACTGAAACTCAAAAACTTTCCCCAAAATCTCCCAGAAGGCAAAGATGTTATACTAGGATTTGGACCCCTGTGTTTCGGGGGAGGTGAATGATGCCACAGGAGTTAAGAGCACAGGTGTGTACCAAGCAAAATGCCTTTGACAGTGCGTCCCCACGCCCAGCTCATCTACTCCAAAGTTCTTGCACAATATCACAGTGGGTCCTAACACGAACACTTGGGGAATGTGAGCTTTCCCTATCCCTCCGTGCACAGTGAAGCAGATGAGAAAGACCTCCAGCTACAGAAGCAGAAGGTCAGAGTGAGAGAAGCCAGAGAAAGTGAGTTGCGGATGCCAACTATGCAACCAAGTGCAGTTGTCCGCACCTAGAGAGGGACCTAGAGCAAGAGTCAAGCCAAAACCCTACAGGAGGGCCACTAATGTCCTCATCATGCCTGCCAGGTAGTGCAGACGGAGTCTAAGGAGACCCTTCTGCCACTGAGAAGGAGGCTTTCCAGAACAACCCATCATTGAGATCCTCCGTGTCCCAGACCATTTTCATCCCATCAGCATGGCGAATGGTTCATACATTATTATGCCCTCCCTGTGGCTGTTTGTTGAAATTATTCAATGCTATTTGCTTGCCTGCAGGTGTTAGAAATCTCTCCCTAAATCAGTGTGGAGATAATCCTTGATTGCAAGGGTCAACACTGAAATGACTAAAGGATTATAGGAGCCAGTTGGTCATATAAACATGCAGGTGTCAAACACAAAATAAGGGCATGGTGACAACAGGTGACCGAATGAAATACAAGGATTGCTCCAGTTGGTATAGGCTAGAAAGATCCAGCCAAGTGTTGCCAACTGGAAACAGGCACCGAGTGTTGTCAGATCTGATTGCTCAATGAAAAAAAAAAATCCAGTTTTATGTGAAATCTATACATACGTTGGACATTCGTTCAATTACACGTTGAATGCTTTAAATATTTTTCAGGCAACTCTCACATTTATGAGGCAGTTTCAACCCATGGGTCTTTGTGTGCAAAATTCACATTCTTTCTCTAGAAGGATGTGCCATGCCCCACATCAGTTACCTATATTCAACATAATGCCACCTAACAAACCAACCCAAAATGGAGTGGCTCAAAGCAACAATTTTTCTTGAATGTTGCCTGGAGGGATCTTTCAGTGTGATTTTTTTAACAATTAATAATCTTCTGAATTTGTAATTGAAACAGACTCACAGAATGAGTTCCATGAAAATGGAAATCCTGTCTTATTACCACAGTGGGCCATTATCCAGAAAGGGACTTAGCAGTAGGTGTTGAACATTTGTTAAAAGAATAAATGAATAGCTGCCTCTCTAATATTAAATACATTTTCAAAGGGAAAAATGCATTTTAACCATGAATGCTGAATCCATCCAGGTTTTTTTTTTGCCCTTTTAAAGGAGAGAAACATTGAATTTATTGACGAAATTACCGCAAAAGAAAATTAGAATGATTTCAACTCAATTTACCTTCTTTCATATGTCATGAACATTTGCAGAGAATTTTTCCCATTAGAGATATCTTAGCCTGGATTCTTCCAGAAAAATAAAGTCTCAGATAAAGTCTACCATGAGTGGTTTATTTGGAAATGTGATTTCAGGGTGCAGGAGTGAGGGGTACGAGGCATGAGCAGAGAAAGGAGGACAGTAAACACATCATGTGTCATCAAGTTGAGTATCAAGAGGCAGGTGGTTGCTTGACCGAGAGGACTTTCTTAGAGGCAATTGGGTTAGTGCAGAGAATTCACTTGAGGGAAGAGAGGGGGAAGCATTTAACTGCTGGTTGCAGCTCCTTGGTGGGCCAAGGATGGCTCTAGGAGCCATAAACTCTCCCATGTTCCTGGGAATGCCATGTGGTTCCTTCAAGGCAAGAAAAACCCTGGGATAGAAGCCAGATGCACACACAGCGCACCTGAGCTGTGAAGTCAGATTATCCCTGCACCAGCCTCGCAGAAGCCTGGGCAGAACGAGTCGCTGCTTCAGTGCCTGGAGTCAGAGTTGAACTTGGCAGAACATGAAGTCCCGCCCAAAAGGGTCGGAGCCAGAAATGTCATGTGGTACAAAAGAGCATGTGGGTAGGTTTGGTGGAAGTTAGGGTAATATTTATGTAGTAACGGAAGAGTCTACATCTTTTTGAGTATCTCCTGAAAAATCTCAGAATACGAATACTGAGAGTCCTGAAAAAGTCACCATTTGTCTTGACCTTTTGCCTATTAATGTACATGAGACGGACATCACCCCATCACCATTCGTGAGAAATTTCAAATCACGGGCAGTATCCCAGTGTGAAAACCTCCCTCTTGACCCTGGTGCCAGGCCAACAGAGAGTGGTTACTGGTTAACAGTGATGACAACTAATCACTCCAGACTTCTCGATTCAGGTCATTCCGCGCTGCACGCTGACATTGTTTTGCTGAAGATGCAAACATTGTCGTAACATGATGTTCTAGCAATGTCCGTTGCCCTGAACACCTTCACTGGCCGAGGTGGGATTGTTGACATGGGTGAGGTGTTTGTGCTGACAGGAAGAGCGTCAGTCATGACAGGTGCACAAAGGGACGTGCGTTGCTGACTGACGCCAAAGTGCTCGCACATCCTCTCTCATTTGACGCCTTACCTCAATGAAAAATGTCACGTTTTTACCGTGTCACAACGAAAGGATGTTGTTTGTATTTCACAACCCACGCAGCCAATCTCCTCCACTAGTGACATTTATATCCCAGGGGCGACCACAGCAAAGTTCTTTGTTCCTTCCAGAATGTTTCGGGAGCTTGTGCCCCATCAAGGCAGGTGAATAGTGGTGTGTTGCCATGTTAATCGGCCATGCTGAGGTGAGACTCGACAGATGTTTATTTAAAAGCAGGTCCTTGGGACTGAGCCCCAGCAGAGGCCTTGTGTCCTCAGGGTCACAGCTGTAAACATGCAATACCAGGCACCTAAAATGCACACCTGTTCATCCTCTCTGCTGCTGCTGAGCACCTGGGGAGCAAGGTGCTTGGAGGTCCGGCTTGGTGGTTCCATGCCTGGGTTTGTGCATCAGCTCAACCACTGCCTAGTGTGGAGAAATTATGTAATAGTACCCATTATCTGTGAAACTGAGCCTCATTTTCATTATCTATATGCTGGAAGAACATAGAAGACATTTTTAAAATTATGCTTGGAAAGCATTTAAATTAGTGTTTGGCACATGGTTCACTCTCCAAAAACTGATATTGTTATTATTTGATTACATTGATTTTATAGTTCGGAAAAGATAAAACTATGGGTTGGTAAGCAAATCAGTGGTTGCCAGGTGTCAGGGGGAGAGGGTGGATTTCACTAACAAAGGGCAGTATGATGGAAATTTTTAGGGTGACAGGATGTTCTGTATCTTGATCATAGTGGTTACAGACCTCTATGAATTTGTCACAATTCATAGAGCTGCATACCAGAGAAAAGAGTTACTTTTATTGTTTGTAAGTTAAAAATCAATTTTACAAACATTATTTAGGTTGGTGTCGTTGTTAGCAGCCGTGGTCCTGGGCACTGTGGACTCAGAGGTGAACACACTTGTTTCCACATGGCTCACGTTCTGGCGGCAGACGGACTAGTAAACACGTAAGCAAAGTGACTCCACGGGGTGAGAAAAATGAGACCAGGTGATACGATAGAGGATGAGCCGGGGGTGGGAGTCGCGTTACAGAGAGCAATGTGCTGAAGGGGAGGCAAGGTGGTGCCGGATTTTACTAGAAAGAACCAGCAGGCGGGTGCAGAGGGGAAGGTAGCAGCTTGGCCCACTGCACTTGTCAATTACGTTGGCCATCCCCTCCTGATTGAAAAGACCAAAGGAAAAAGAAAAAGTAATTTGTTTCTCTTTTAAGTGACCCTTTTTGATTATTATTAGTTCGGCAGCGCATCCTTATAAATGCTCTCTCTTACAAATAAACATTTCACTTCTTGAAACTCAACAGCTTTTGTTCAATACAGAGAACCTGATTTTCCCACCTCACCTCAGTTAAACATGGATCCAAGTTAGAAATCTTAAACCACCCAACATGGTAACCAGGAGAGGGAACGAATAAGTAATTAGTTGGGAACAATTCATCCTAACTTTGTAAACGTCTGACTGAAAGGAGCCCAAGGCAAGAAACTCAAATTGTCAGAAATTTTCAAAGAAGAAAAGTAACACTTTTTTCTTCTGCCAGTCTCCGCAGATGCAATTTCACGTTTTATTACTCACATAATTGATAGCCTTCTCCATTCTCTGCACTTTTTTTTTTTCCACTTAATAACAGATCTTGGAGACTGACTTGGATCTGCTGATGAGACGCTGGTGCTTTCTCCAGTCCACACGCCACCAGACTTTGTCATCGACCATCACGAAGTTGACCCGCTCGATTTCGATAAGCATCTCGTGGCTCCCAACCCTTGACGGTGTAACTGTTGCCCCAGGGAGTGTCCCTGCACACATCTCTGCACCCACGGGCCATCGGTGACATTCCTAAAACTGGAATTTCTGGCTGGACAGTGATGTTCATTTTAAAAACAGTGGTGGATATCAAATCGCCTTTGAACATGATTGTACTGGTTTAACCTCACCAAAAACAACGTAAAGAGTGCCTCCTTTTACCAAACTCGCTGACACTTTTCTTGATCAAGAATTCTGATCCTCACCAATCTGCTGGATGACAATTTGCGCTGCTTTTATCCTGAGCGAGGCTGTATGTCTGTTCAATGCTTTAGAGCCATCTGCAGATAATTTTGGCAAATTTTCTGTTCTTGTCATTTGGCTATTTTTATATTGAATTGTTAAGAGTTTTTCTTATTGTTCTTAAGAGGTCTTAATTATTATAGGAATAAGCCCTTTTATCCCATATTTACATGTAAGAGTTACTTTGTACGCACTCAAACGGTTAAAGACAGCTATCACATGACTAAAGCTCACTCTGTACCCCCTTTCCAATTTATAACCTTTACATCAGGGGTTAGCCAAGTTACAGGTCGAGGGGTCAAATCCATCCTAACACCTGTTGTTTTTTTACAACCTGCAAATTAAAACTTTTTTTTTATTTTTTATATTTTTAATTGTTGAAAGAAAATCAAAAGAAGAGTAACATTTCAGGACATATGGCATATGCAATTCAAATTTAAGTGTCTGTAAATAAAGTTTTATTGGAAAGACATCCACATCCATTTGTCCCTGTACTATCTCACTGCTTTCATGATACAGTTCAGGGGTTGAAGAGCTGCAAAGCTGAAAATATTACCAGCTGGCCCTTCATAGGGTAAGTTACTTTGAGGACAATTTATAGTTGCTCTTGGTCCTTTTTCTAGTTGAGTAAGAATTCTCTATAGACTCAAATTCAAAATGGCGCTAGGCAGACATGACCAATTGGTTGGGTTGTGTACAAGTGGTAAAACTCATAAACCACCCACGTTGAGAGTCAACTCTTGCTGTTTTCTTTTTTTTTTTTATTCATTGTTTCTTTAGGAAATTCTCATACATGGGATATTGTTTTGAAACAAATCTAAATGTGCACAGAAAACATTATAGTAATCTTGCTAGAAATCTCTTATCTACTTAAGTGGAAAGTTTTCAAATTAACTTTCCCAGTGGCATGTCACTTTTAGATTGCTTTCTTCCTCAGAATTTTCCATCCCAGGAACTGCTAACTTACCGAGAAAAATATTTTCTTTGATTAAGGAAACACTTGTGGGGAAAAAAATGTAACTTGATCACCAAAATCTGAAGATATGTCCAGAAATCTAGATTATCTTTTTCAAAAATCTTGCTCTCCTACTGTGCAAGGAAGGATCTTTTACAAAGGACTGTTTTTTCAAAGTAATATATTTTACTTTGATATTAGAAAATTAACTGTCCAAAAAGTAACACCTACCATCTTTATATATTTGTCATTGAAATACGCACAATGGGATCAATATTTAAACAAACATTTGGAGAAGATAATAAAATTTCACAGACTTGTTAGATAATATTGTCTGAGGTTTTCTCATTTTTGAGAATCAATAGGAATATAAACCTTTGTATGAATTCAATAAACTTGAACTGGACTCCAATTAGTATATTTGGATTTGAATTTTTAGCAGGTGACTCTGACACTGTTGTGTAGATGTTTCATATCCATTTACTTTATGTGAAGAGGAAAATTCTTGTACCTGGTTGTACCTATTACCTTATCAACTCACAAGACAGATTTTCTCAAGAAACTGGTCTAGATTGCTTTTTAAAATTCTACCCACCATTCCCCTTCCTCTCTGAGAAAAACACTTTCTGCTTACTTGGAAAAAGCTTGCTCCCTGTCACTGAGTTACACGGAAGTAGTGTCTTAATAATTCCATAATGGAAGACTTGTCGTGAACATTTTAAGCCCCACTTTTTTTTTTTAAAAGATTTTATTTATTTATTCATGAGAGACAGACAGAGAGAGAGGCAGAGGGAGAAGCAGGCTCCTAAGGAGCAGGGAGCCCGATGCGGGACCCGATCCCAGGACCCTGGGATCATGACCTGAGCCGAAGGCAGACGCTTAACCATCTGAGCCACCCAGGCGCCCTTAAGCCCCACTTTTAAAAGAGTTACAAACAACTTTATCTTTTAATTTTCAGACTGTTGTTACTATTCTTAAGGAAGTTTCTAGAATAATGTATTTTAAAGAAAAGCAAGGAAACCTCTCAAAGTATGTTTTTCTGGGCTCCCATCAAGTAAAATTTAAGAAAAAATAATTTCTAAAGAGAGTTGGCCAAGAAAATCTCTATCAGAAACATGCAAAAAATTTTATTCCCTATTGTTTAGTTTTGTATTTTTCCTCTCTGCATGAACGCCCCGTAGAGAACTCTGAACCCCAACATTTTGCTGCCTGTTATTATCAGTAACACAGGAGCTAGCTGAGGACTTGCATTTGTGTTAATATCTATTTTTATCTAAATAATCTGAAATGTTTAAGGCTTGGGAAATTTCTCTATATTTAGAAAAATCCAAGGATAGTTTAGACACAGTTTCTGAAATGGGTCTGTGATAAATTAGATTATTCTTTATAATTGGTCCTTCGCACCTTATTGATCTTTGAATGTGCTAGGTGGATTCCTTTAGTCACATGGCGGATGAATGTTACTTGCCCATCCCTTGTCTTTGGGGTCTCCCTGTGACTTGCTTTGGCCAATGGATGTGAGCAGGTGCAACACAAGCAGGCCTGATCAGACTTTCTCTGTCGCACCTCCCCCTTCACAGTGGAGAACATTCCTTGGCTACCCCACTGGTCCAAGGAGGAAGGAAACTAGTTGGCTTGGCCCAGGCTCCATGGTGCTTTGCTCCAAACTGCAAGTTGGGTATGTTGCATTAATTCAAATGACACTGGATGATTCAAGATGGTGTGAAAAAGATCGAGGCTGCCTCCAGTCATCCGATAAGTATAGTGGAACGAACAACCAACAGTAGAAAGAAGGAACGGCTCTAAATGCGTGTGTCAGCTACCTACAGGAAGGGAGTCCCATCACATGGTAGAAGGAGGGTGGCCAGAGGACCAAGCATGTAGGACTGGGTCTTGACTCTGTGCTTACAGTCCAAGAGACCCTGGGAAATTACTCTAGGTGCCTCAGTTTCCCCATCTGAAACATGAAGAAAATAGCACCACGGTTGCGACACCTGCATGCATCACGGACATGTGACGAGTGGTCTCCAATTGTTCTTCCAATGCACAACCAATGGGTGGATGTGTAATGCCAACATGGATTTCCAAGGTTGAATTTTTTTTTATTTCCTTAAGTAATTTTTATCACACGGCAAATGACCCAGGGATTCTTTCCGGGACTTCAAATTAAGATTTTGGGTATTTTTGTTTTGTTTTGTTTGTAGAGGCATCTAGAGGAAAGGATAAATAATATATAGATATTGATAGTCCCCCCAGATGAAAGCGTAAATACAATGCATTTTCAACTAATGCCAATGAGATATTTGTGTGTGTGTGTGAGAGTGAAGAGGTAGAGAATATCTTGATAATTTTATTAAATAAATGTATTTGCCTAAGAAAAGCCATGAATATCTATGGAAAAAAAAGATCAAACAGGAAAAGATTTGCCCTCCTATATGTCAACGTGCACTGTAAAACTATAGTAATTTTTATTTATAATAAAATAAATATAATTTTTATATAATGAAATAAAATAAAAATTTATAATAATATTTAAATAATTAATATGATAATTGTGTTGAAATGCAAATAGACACATAATTCCTTGGAATTTATAAATAGAGTGTCTAGAAACAGAACCATGTACCCATTGTTACTAAGGGAGAGAGATACCGCTCTACGGTCACCATACCTTTGCCTCTCCCCATGCATACAGGATAATCGAATTTCTCAACCGCCTCTGCAATTAGATTGTGACATGCAACCAAGTTTTGCGTGTGGAATATCATGTTGCATGTGGCACATCTCCGCTTAGCACTTACAATCAAGCCTTGGGTCCCCCAGCCTGATCTGTCCTGTAGCGTCCACCCTGAAGGGCATCTGCAGTGCAAATGCCCTAATGCTGAGATGGACAGGTGCCCCTCGACCCACCTTATGCTGCGCTTTGTGGGATGTGGGCCAGACACAACTTTATGAAGCTCCGCCGAGGATTTTCAAGGTTCGCGTGTCATGGAGCCAAAGCCTCCCTTATTTTGACTATTAAATGTATATAATATGTAATAAAAAGAGCAAAGGCATTTAAAATAAAGAGAAGAAGAGATGACTCATTAGACTGCATTCAAATCATTACCCATTCACTTTCAAAATGAGCAAATGTGAGATAGATACCATACGCCACACACCAAACTCCACCGGGCTCACACAGGGAGAGTGTATTTTCATCCCTCATAATGCAGGTAGATATAGGCCTAAAGACCATGCAATATGTTGGGAAATGCTAACAAAATATTAAATGAAAAATACAGACTGTAAAATACTACACATGTAGTCATTTCAACTAGCATAAGATCTGTCATTGAGAAACAGATCCCCCCAGAGACCCCAGAATACAAACTTCCAAGCGTGCCCACGTGGGCGGGCTTGTGTTTGTGCAGATGCCTGGCTTCTGGCAAAATCCCGTCCGCGTGGACACTCCTGTGCCACGTGGCCTCCTGCTCTCCCTGTCACGAGCGCGTCAGTTCGGTGGGCAGGTTCTAGCAAGCTACAGTCTCTGTCACTGCAAAAGCTGGACCAAAACCAGCTGGAAAGGAAACCACAGTTCCAAGGAGGTAGGGGTGCTGGTCAGCGGTGCATCGGTCTCCTTTGGCTACTAACGTGATTTCTGAGTCTGATTTTTTTAATATTTCATGAAGTACTTTTCTGCAGGTTCCAACCCACTCGTGGCGAGCAAAGCCTCCTCCACAGCACGCCGGCTCGGCTCTGAGGA